CAGGGGTGTCAGCCCGGGGGCCCTGGAGGGCAGGGCTGTGAAATCACGATGGTTTCGGCGGGAAGCCTGCACGGTCAGCCCAACTGACACCTGCCGCTCGGGCTCGGCCGGAGGCCCCGGGGAGGGTCCCGCAGGGATTCAGACATGGATTTAGTCCGACGGTCAGTTCTCGGCTGAGTGGAACGTGGACTTTCTCACTAAGTCCAATCCGGAGTCCCAGGTTTTCAGTGGCTCCTCTGCCCTCCGAGAAGCTGTGTTTGCAGGTGAACATCGTGCTTCCCGCTGCTCAGGTTCCCCGAGTTGCGTCAGGGGCTGGTCGGCCCAAGCACCCTGGGGACCCCTGGGATGTGCCCCATCCGCCCGGCCCATCCGCCCGGCCCATCTGCCCGGCCCATGTGACCATGGCGGCCGTGCTGGGGTGGCTTGTCCTTGCACACGTGGCCCCAACAACGAGTCCGGCGCTGCCCGTGGGCGGGAACCTCCCCCATCCGCCTTCTCAGGGCAGAGGGTTTGGCGATGTCGGAGGTGTTGCTGCCAGACCTCTGAGCGCGCTCTCTCTTCTCTTCCAGCCTGCAAGTCCTCCGCCCACAGGCGATGTGAAGCCCAGGTAAGCCCCCCTCCCCGGCCTTCCGCCCGGGCCCTTCCTCCTCGGCTACCGCCAGCAGATGCCTGGGAGGGGCCTCGGGGCAGGAAGGAACCAGCTGCCGGTGCTCCCCGAGGCGGCTTCACGGGGCCAAGGCGTCGCGGCTGAGCTACCGGAAACAACGCTCAAGCATCTGGGGTCAGATGAGAGCTGCCTCTGTCCTGGCCACCTCAGCCCTTCTCCTGCACACGCTGCCTCAGGGCAGAGGGGTGGGCCGGGCTCGGCCGCCTGGCCTGGAGGAGTTGCCGGGGGAGTTGTCGTAGATTGGTTGGGGTTTGAGGCTGTCGTGGGAGTGGGGGCCCTGAGTTGGGGGAGTGGCCCTGCCTCTGCGTGTTCCCTGGAGTAAGTGCTGGACCCGCGGGAAGCCAGGGAGGCGGGAGCTTGGGTGTGTTGAGGGACCCGGTTAGTGGGGAGCTGCTGGCTCCCTGGACAGGCCCGGTTTTCACACAGTCACCGAGTGCGCACCCCCACATTCTCTGCACACGTGACCCGCAGTGGGGCCGCCTTTGTGGGCCCATGAGATGTCCGCGGGCGGCCGTTCTGGGGTCCAGGGAGCTGTGGACCTCGTGGTCCAGTGTCTTGAGATCCCACCTGGTGCTCCCGACTGGGAAGGACACGTGTGGAGGCGGCTTCGTGCCGTGAGCTGGCTTCCCAGGGTGCATTGTGCAGGGTGGACCTGGGACCTGGTTTCCCCCATCCTCCCCACCACACACACACACACACACACACACACACACGGATATGTGCAGGCGCATACAATTCACACCCATGTGCACACTCATACATACACACAGTCGCAGACAGGCACACAGGTGTACCAACACATGCAATGTATACTCATGCATGCACTTGCACACACACAGGTGAATACATGCAGACACAGTTCACACACACAAGCACAGACAGTGCACACGCGTGTGTCAGGCGCACACACTCACAGACACGAAGGTGGAAGAACTGCAAGCGAGGCCAGCCCTGTATTCTTTCAGGGAAGAGAGCGAGTGACTTTTCTTTCTAAACTCTGTGCTGTGGAGAATTGGGGACACATGACGGCAGAGAATAGTGCAAACCTCTGCTGTGAGGGCACCCCGCCCGGCCACACCCCTCCGCCCTCTCCACGCCGTCCGGCCTCTCCTGAGATGTCCCACGACTTGCGTGTGGAGCTGTGTGGTGCCCGGGCGTCCGGTCTCACTTCGGGTCTCGCTCTGGGAAGGCTGGAGGCCAGGAGGCTCCTGCTCGCACACTCGTGGGCAGGACTGGTGTCCGACGGCCTGGTGTGGCCTGGGCCCTCACGGACGCCCCTGTGAAGTGTGCTCTGCACCTGTAACCGGAGGCTGTGGGAGCAAAGGTCCCGTGTGCAGTGGGCACGGGGTCGGTGCCACCTTGGGAAATGGCTCGGGTTTCAGAGAGGGTCCCTCAGCCCCTGTGAGGGTTTAAATGAGCCCCCGACCCCTGAGGGTCCCTTTCAGAGGGAGCCTTGTCCAGCACAGCTGTGACTCATCACCATGGTGGGGGGCCGAGGGGAGCCACGCAGGGATGCTGTCTGTCCTGTGTCATTCCTGCATGTGTGGGTGTGCATGTGCATGCACATGCCAGTGCATGCGTGATGCACACGCGTGCATATTGTGAGTGTGCATGCATGTGAGTCCGCATGACAGTGCACGTGTGTAACATGTATGTGTGAGGGTGTACATGTGCGAGTGCCTGTATGGGTGTGCATGTGTGAGTGTGTGACTGGGTGTGTGTGGGGGGGTGTACATGTGCGGGTGTACATACCCGTGATGGTATTGCTGCCTGGCCGCCCTGACCTGTGGCCGCAGACCCGAGCCCACTGCTGGTGGCTCCATTTCTTAAAGGCGGCCCAGCCAACCACTTAGGGGATTGAATTCTTTGATTCGAAGAATGTTCCAGAAGCCTTAGCTATCACTGATTGTGCCGTTTGTAGCCGCAGGAGTTGGCAGTTGGCTGGGAGGCAGATAAGCTTTCGCTTTTATTAGATGGGGGGGGGGGGGGGCCTTGCCGTATTCATTTCTCTGAGAATGCAGCTTCCACGCGGGAGAGAACGCACCGCGCTGACAAAGCCCCTCTCATTCCCAAGCCCCGACGTGCCCCGGGGAACAGAGGGCCATAGACGCTCCGCCGCCCCTGGAGCCAGCGGGCGCAGCTGGTCCCCTGGGAGCCGTGACGAGGCTGCCCCGCAGCTGGGTCCTGGGCGTCGCCTGTGCAGGCCCCTGAGCTCAGGCTCGTAGAGTCTCGGGAGACGGAGGGGCTTCGGGTGAGAGCACAGGCCCCGGCTCCACGTGGATGGGGTCTGGCCCCGAGTGGCGACAGGACCCCGGGTCTCAGCTCCTCCCTCTGCGGAGCAGGGGTGACAGCACCTGCCCCATGGGGTCCCCAGCAGGTTCTTCCTGAGTCACCAGGTGGGGATGTCCTTCCTCCGTCCTCTGCCAGGCAGGGGCAGGAAGCTCCCGGCGGCGTTGGGGGCGCTCTAGCTCTGGCCAGGCCACGCCTGCCTT